TCTCTCTCTCTCTCCGCCAACATCCTGCGAGAGTCTCCATCCACCGAACGACACGAGAGGGAGTCCGAGTTCCTGGCTCGTCCCTCACGGCTGCAGTGCGTTTTCAAACACCCATGAGACAACCTCGAACTACTCGCACGCACGCACGCATGCACACGGTGTTGAAGATACACGAGGACAATCGAGACGACATTCCCGAGACTCCTCATAACTAGTGCCAGAGAAGTCGACGAGTTAACCACTGGACACAGCCCGCCAATATAAATTCTTTACTCCCCTATTTTAATTAACTCTGCCATATTAATCCCGCTATCAGCATATCTGCGAGATATCCAAATGATAGAGAAAGCCTCCATTCGCAAATCAAAGATCGGCTCGAGTGAATTGTGCTGACGTTGAAGGGCCGATGAGAAGTTATACGTGCATTGGGAAGACCTCACGAGACCAATCGTGCTCCTAGTCCAAGTGCGCGAATTGAATTTTGTCCCGATAATGTCGTTTGTAAACGTATCCGATTCGCAGCTCCATTTTTGGAGCTAGAGAGTGTTCGAAGCGGAAGAGAAAGAAACGAAAAATTATCTTTAGAAATTTTAAAGACACAATGTTAAGAATATAGTGTGATATCGTGATTTAATTGAAGACTTTTACGTGACTCTTACCGGCTTACAGATTTGCTCCGAGAGTACAGAAATAAAATACAGACGTACGCGGAAATAACAATCCCCGTAGAAAACAAGACGTGCTCCGTCAGAGGTGAAATGTCTCAGGTAAAAGCAAATCTCCGATATTGTCAGAGCCGAAGGAAAAGGTAGCACTGTTAGATTGTCAAACGGAAATCGGATCAAAGATAGCTGAGTAGCATCAATCTGAAAAAAAGTTGACAATTTTCGACTACTTTGAGTTGCATGTTGCGAGATAGAGTCCCTCAGAAATCGGATAAAAACAAGTTTGCTAGGAGGAATTCGAGAAGGATTCTTTTCCCATTTACCACGCCAAGAGCCGTGAAATTCAAGAAGTAGTGTCAGCGAAAGAATTCGGAAGGGGTCCGATGAATATCAGAAATTACTACTGAAAAATCTGAATATACCAGGAATAATAAATCGTCAACGTTTTGATGAAATAGACAGTTCCTCTTTAATTTCTTATTTATCGTTATCGGAGCTCGGAGTGTTTTACAATAAACGAGCATAGATTATTGAAAGTTGTGAGTAAACTTATGAATGAATCTACTTAATCCAATGACCTAGTGCTGCATGAAGGAGGGTTAGAACGAGAGACAAGTAAACGGGACATCGTCGCAGCGTAATGAAGTCTATGACGTGT